CCCTGCACATACTCCACTGCCCCTCAGCGTGTCTCCCCTGCACACACTCCCCTGCCCTCCAACGTGTCTCACACACACACACTCCCCTGCCCTCCAGCGTGTGTCCCTCACCCTGCCACCTTCCTGGGCCCTTACCGACTCGGAGGCGGAAGGAGTTGAAGGAATGCCTGTTGATGCCATCCAGCTTGCTCATCAAGGCGATGCTGAACTCCACCGTGAGGCCAATGTAGGCGTGTTGCCGAGCCAAGTCCTGCAGGACAGGACTGTGTACTCAAGACCATCGGGGATGATGGCATCATCTTGCCTGGGCTAGATGTGTGTTAGATGGCTACCCAGAGCACCGTGAGGGGGGGCCTGGGGCCACAGCCCAGCACCTCCCCCGCACGTGTCCCCACCAGAGCACCTCTGGCTCAGAAGGCAGCTCTCAGGCTTCTCCTGTCTGCTGCTTCCGGAACTCTCCTGGCTGGCCTACTGAGTTCCTCGGCCCCTTCGTAGGTTTGAGGACACCTACATGAGGTTGAGACACTGCTGGTTACCACCAGTACCTGGTCCTCGTGCCTCGAGGTGACACTGAGCCCTGCCGCTGCCATGTACGTGCTCCCAATGGTCTTGATCTTCTCCACAGCACTGAACTTGGGCTTTAACAGCAGCTGCAGGACAGAGGAACATGGTGAGACGGCTCAGGACGCTGCAGCTCAAGCCTCTCATTCTGTGGCAGCAGCTGCAGCCTCCCTCTCCCAGGATCCTCTCCCGCTGCCACTTCTCATAAAGACACTGTCTCAGCTTGTGACCAAGTAGAAGCACAGCCTGTGGGTCCCTACCCCTCCCCTAGTCTCATCTCCCCTGGGATTTTTTGTTTATCTCTTCCTTATCTCTTCCATTCTCATCTGCTCCCCCTTTTTAAGGAACAAACAGTCTGCATTATCTACACAGTCCTGTGGGTCAGTTCTTTCCAACAGTTAAACTGATTTCCTCTGAAAGGAACTGAGAACATGAGCTGAGCTGCAACACCAGCTGTTCTACAAGGACCCTGAATATAAGCCCAGTCTCTAAAAGGACCTGGTACAGAGAAGGCATTAATCAAATATTTAACACATGTACATTGTTGTTGTGTGTCTAAACCAACCCAGCGCTGACTGTCCAACAAGTTTTCAGAGACTGGCAGTGGCACAGAGGACACTGTCTGGCTCACAAAGAGCAGCTGGGGGGATTCAAACCACCTGCCTTTGGGTTGGCCTTCCTATAAGGCCACCAGAGCTCCCCTACACATATATAGACAAGGCAGATGTGTACCATCTTCTCATGTGTGTAATGTCAGCAGGGAAGCTGTGTCCCCTTCCCCAGGGTCGAGGATGCCCTCAGCCATGTTGCTGTATCTGCAGAGTCGGTTGAGGAGGCTGCTTATCCCCTGCATACCTCGTCAAAGTCTGCAATGATCTCATTTAACAAGCGCAGGCATTCCAGCCCTTCTTTGTTGACGTCACACTCTGTGTAGAACACTTTGAAATCCGGCACAGATGCAAACATGACACAGACACAGTCATACGACTGATGGTACCAGTCCTGGATGCGGGAAAGGGGAGGGTCAGGCTGAAATAGCTCCCGGAGCTGGCAACGTCCCCCGGCCTTCAAGCCTTTGATAGCAGCTAGGAGCTAAGTAACGCCTGGGTGTGCCTGCCTTCGGGATGTAGTGGGCAGGGGCAAGGCCAGGCCCAGGTCTTTGCGTTTTTAAAGCACTCCCAGTGGGCCTGACGGCTGGGAGAAAGACCACAACGAGGAGACCTTGGGTCTTAGCAAGTTGCTAACCCTGGACTCGGCAAGTTGTTGGACCTCTTTCCTTCTCTGTAATAAACACATGTCGCTTTCTTCCTGAGAACAGAATGTCCAGATTACAAATACCTGGGCATATCTGGCCCACAGGACAATTGTAGAAGGTAAATTCTGTCAGACCCATTTTACAGATGTGAATGATCCAGAAAGGTTAAGTGTCTTATCTGTGATCACACCGGAGCCCAAATCTTTGACTCCAAAACCTGGGTTCGTACAGCTATCACAAAGAAGCCAAGCCCGGGAAGGTCCTTGTGTCTGTAAACATCCACTCTGCAACAGTGTGTGCATCCTCTGTCCCCAACCCCTTTGTCCCACCACACCTCATTTAACTTGTCACCAATGAAATGGGCAGCCACGTGGGCTGGCAAGACATTCTCCAGAAGAAGGCGATTCACGTTCTCCATGGTTTCAAACTCCTCATGTTCTTTCTTGAACTTCTTCTTCCACAGACAGTCCAACCGGCAGTAATAGTCAATCTGCACACAGGAAGAGACCCATTCCTATGTGAGGGCAGAGGCACCCCAAGGCTGGGACACAATGGGAACTCCTGGGGTCCAGATGGTCCATCACAGTACTGCCCGCCCATGGTAGTGGCAAACCCCTAACTGAATGGTCTTAAAATTCCCAGCATGTGAGTCTAGTTACAGTAACTAGTGATGATCTATGCGATCAAGCCTGTCACGTAGGTCCTGACAGGACACCAGGGGGTGAGGACAGCAGACCCCGCACACCGCCTCTCCAAGTGGAGAGAGAAGACCAACTTGAACAATGGACACAGGGATGTTTTAGTTTACCTGTACGGAGAGCATGATGAGGGAGATGTAAAACAGAAGCAGGAAGAAAGTTACCATCTTCAAATCCTTCCATGAGCAAGGTGAGCTGTGGGATATGACAGGGAAAGTCCAGTGAGAAACTCACTATACCCAGTGCCCACACGCAGGAAGTAGTGTGTGGCCCCAACATTTATGTTTTAGGTGCCAGCCAAGGGGAACAGCAGACCAGATTTCTAACCTTTTAGCACTTGTATTTTATTCGGTAAGTGGGAAATGCCTGTTTCAGACTAAAGCAAGGAGGTGCAGTGAGGAGACTGCCTGCCGGTGAGGGGCCTCACTGAAGTCACCTGAATAATAGGGCATCAGCCACGGAAGGTCTGAGGGGAAAGCTTTCCAGGCAGGTGAGGCAGCAGGAGAGAGCCTGGGCCAGCACACAGACACCCACCCAGGTCATAAAGGGACCTGGAGATGGGCAGAAGGGTGAAGGCCTTCCCCACCTGCCCCCAGACCCACAAGAACAGATTCTGAGCTGGGTCCCTGCCTGTCAGGTTTCCAGACTCCACTCGCTTGAAGCTCAGCTGTGCTAGACCCCTGCACATAGACCCCTTCCCGGGCCACTGCTGTAACCTCCTCTCCAGAAAGGAACCACAGACAGGTTACCCTTGCAGAGACTGAGGGTCCGGGACATGACCCAGATAGAGACCAAGAGCTGAGGTCTCCCCTACCACCCTTAGATATGCCTGGACGTGGCCTCCGTGGGACTCAGGACTCCCCTAAACAACCTGCAAGTGGGCCACACTCCCCAGCTTGGGATACAGGTTACAGGTTAAGCCAGTTCCGCCCTCCACCTTCCCCTTCTGTAAAATGGGAGCCCTGTCATTTACTAGCCGCCGCCGTTCTAAGGCACAGTGAAAGCAGAATCTAGACGCACACCAAATAGCTTGGAGGGTCTACCTGGGGTCAGTGCTGTTCCTAGAACTGTCAGGGTGCCACCAGCAGCACGGAGCTCTGTGGAAGAGCAGCAAGTTGGTGAGCACGGCCACGGTTAACAGCACAAACTTGAGCTCCAGGCTCATCCACAGGAAGATGGAACAAGCCACGAAGCTGAGCATGCAGCTGCAGGTGTAATACTGAGGGTGAGAGGCACAGGTTACTCAGGAAGCTCAGGCTGTCCCATCGCCAAGGCCACCCCGTCACTGGGCCAGCAGCCAGACCACGTGGAGCGATGACCGTGACTCCCAGCCCAGGGCCGTACAGCAGTGCATCTCTAGTGTCCGATGCTTGTTTTGCTGATCTGCTATGTTAACAAAGTGCAGGCAAATCTACAAGTTTACAGTATTCTCATCCTAGTTAGGTCAGTGTGAGATCAATGTAAAGGCAGGAATATGAAGTAAACAAATGGAGATGGTGAGTGGAGTCAAGTCTCCACAGCGTCTCTACCTCTGCAGATGCAGTGAGCCTGCCCTTCACAGAGGGTTAGCCGCCCACATTACTGCCCCCCTCGAAAGTACACAGTGGGCCCTCCCTGCTCGTGGGCTAAATGCCAAACCCTTCCCTCTGGATCAAACCTGCTTTCCTGACTGCATCGCCCACTGCCTCTCTCCGCCTCCCCACTGCACGGACTAGGAAAACCCTGCTGCTCCCACTAGTACCTTTCTCAGCCTGGCCCCTCTCCCCCCTTCAGATAAAGGTTCCCCCTCTGAGTGGCTGCAGCCCTCATCCTACCATTACAACATTCTGGGTGGAGGAGAGCCTGCCCCATCCCCGTCCAGGTTGTCCCATCCTGCATCGGCAGGTCAGTTAACCTCTGAGCCCTGCTTCCCACTTAGAAACCGGAGGTAATGCTCATGCTTGACAGTAAGGGACCGAGAGGGCTCACCAGCCCTGGCCAAATGCACAAGACAAGGCTCCTCTGTGTTCTCCCGCCCAGAGGCAGCACTGGCTCCGCCTAGACCTTTTGCAGCCTTTCCTGGGAGAGGCTGGGCTCTGTCCCTCTACACCCCAGAGTCACAGGGCTCAATACCGATGGTCCACTTGTTCAGTGAGGGTAGGGGCGCTGCTTGGAGCAGGGCACTCACCAGGTGGAGCTCACATGCAGTCTGTGTGGTCTCATTACTACAAGCCGATCCTGATGCTGAGAAAGTCAGTGGTGGCTACGAAGGAGACAAGGCCAGGTTAGCATCAGTCTGTGACTCGGGGCCTGTCAGGGACCAGCATGGCAGAGGAGGAGGATCAGGGCGGCGCGGGGAGCAGACAGAGGGCCGGGGGAGCACCGTGGCTCTGCTGCCAGGCTGGGCTGCAGTCACTGCCCTGAGCGGCTGGGCACATCGACCACAGCAGCCGGCAGACACGGGCGGTGGGAAGTGGGAGGGAGGGTACAAAATGAAGATACAAGATCACCCCCAGGGCGGCTCAGTGCCCCTCCTTCCTAGGTAACCCCAAAGGAAAGGATCGCTCAAGCACACCCCAAAACTGGCATTTTCTAAGTGTCTAGAGGGTGGGGTGGAGGAGAGAGCTTGACCTGTAGGAGCCAGGCGGATGGAGCCTAAAGACGCGGGAGCGGAATTATCCCTCCCAGCCCACGCCCCTCAAGACACCCTAATGTCTGAGTCTACAGGTTAAAGCAGGACAGTGAGGAATCTGAGTCCTCAGAGGCCAGGAGGTACTGAAACGTCAAGGACATAACCCTGTAGGTGTGGACTTGACGTTCTCTGGAGGCGTAACGTGCCCACTCTGGAGAGGGTTAAGATACAGTATGATGTAAAGACTGCAGCACCCCAGAACCCTGAGATTCTCAGTGGGGTGAGGCTTAGGCTTGAGGGACACACCAGGCTCACGATGGCGGTAATGGTCACGATGGCCAGGAACGCCCTCAGCAGGGGCTGTGTCCCTGCCTTCTCGGAGATGGTTCGGAGCATCCCCCAAGCTGGGCAGCACCTCTGCGGAGGAAAGGGGGCCACGTCAGACCAGGACGGGGCCTGCTGAGGGCTGCAGGGCAACGCCGCGGTACAGCTTGGACAAGAAGCCCAGGAGAGCGCCAGAGAGCGGGAACTGGCATCTCCTTCCACTCGGGTGGTAGAGGCTTGATGGGCCCACCCACTGTGCCCGTCATAACCCAAGTCCTCAGCTGATGTGCGAGTCGACATGAGGCAGAACTCTTGAGAATAACTTCCAGAACACTCGGCAGTGTCCTCAGGGCAGAAGGGACTGGGACAGGGCGCTCAGCCCCTTCCCTGCCTAGAGTCCAAGAAGGGAGACTAAAGTAGAGAGGAAGGGGTCACGGGGCCAGAGGACTCACAGCACCACAGCCCTGCCAATGAGTGGATCGGACCCCGCACAGTCATCAGCTGTCGTCTTGGGGTCTTTCCACTCACCAGAAACTGATCAGCAAAGCACAGGCACAGGCCCAGTCCCAGTACGCAGGCCGCCAGGGTAAAGGGCATGTTTACAGCTGTCATCCTGGGATGGAGGGAAAATAGCAAGGCCTCAATTCCCACTAGCCAAGACCACACCACAAGAAGGCTGCCCGCCCTGACTCCTGCCACCTCAGCCTTCCAGCATGCACACAACCTCCCTCGGGGGCCACCTTCACACCGAGAAAATGAGACCTTTGAAAACCAGGGTCCAGCCACCCCACTATCCGCACAAGATGCCTGCTGAAAATGTCCAGTTGGCCAGCAGCACATCTCTCTTGGGGCTAAGTGTGTAAGACGTTAGTAGCGTCTGTGCAGCCTTCATACTTTTGTCTGGCACACGGTTAAGTGTCATTTAAATGTGGTCTACTTAGTCTTTACAGACACGACACTTAACTGCATTCCCAAAGGCACGCGGTTCGAATCCACCAGCTGTTCTGTGGGAGAAGGATGGGCAATCTCCTCCCGTGTGACTGACTGCCTGCCTCTAAAACCCATCAGAGGGTCAGCTGTGGGTTAGTTCCATTTTCATGGCTCACAACAAGTCCTTTGCCTTTATTAAGCGCATCCTCAACTACAATCCTAGGTCTCTCCTTTGGCCCAGTCACCCCTCCAGAAACCCCCAAGTTGCTGGTTTTACTTCCTTTCCCCTCACCCTCAGTCTCAGCCTCCACCACAGGACTGTCTGATGTGGTTGATATACGCTGTGGATTTGAACCACATGCCTCAGGGATGGAAGCACAACTCCTGACCATTAGGACACAAGAACCGAAAGTGGGGCTCCCAAGCTATTTGCTGTGCAGCTCAGGATAACTTTCGTCTGAGCCTCACCTTCCCCACATACAAGAGAAAAACAATGGAGTCTGTGATTTGAAGAGTCTACGGTTCTAAGACTCCAAGCACATAAGGACCTAAGGAAGGGATCATAAACAGAAATGCTTGCAGGGTCCAGGCAAAAGCAGGTAACTGGGAAACGGAGGTGAGAGACATTAGGGAATGGTGAGGTCTGCGTTGGTAATTCCAAGTGCTGAGGCTAACTCTTCTAACTTACGGTTCCTAGGAACCCAAGGAGGTCAAGTTCATGAATCCTAACAGACAGACCTTCCAGCCTGAGGCAATACTTTTCAGTAGGTTTTTTGGTGGGCTCTGCCAAGGTCACCTCATTTGAACAATCCCTGCCCGCTCCAACTGACCTGGGCATTAACAGGATGTGGACGAGCAACATGCAGAGGAAGATGAGGCTGGCCCAGGCGAAGTAGTGACGGGCCCGGGGGATGGGGGCCAGGCGGTACTGGGAATGACAGAGAAGATGAGGGGGTGCCTGCTCGGGCAGCATGGCCCGCCACGTTCAGAGCCACTTGCTCCAGCTCCTTCCCAGACCCCACTCTATCGCAAGTCAGTCACTTCACAGAGAATTCTCCTCTGTCCTGAGTTCTAACTGAAAGTATTCCAATCCATGCCCCTCACTGCTCTATTACAAAGTCCCTTGTTTGTACTGCTAATACCTCCCCTGCCCTTCCCCGCTCAGGTCTCCAACTTTATTTCTCAAGTCTCTGAAAAGTCCCAAGGCCCAGGTCCAGAACAAAGGGTGTGCAGGAGCAAAGTCTGAGCTCTTGGAGCTGATAGAGGTCTGACTGCGTCCAAACCAAGAGATGAGGCTGGACCTGAGCCTTTGCGCAGACAAGGCTGGGACAACCCCCTGTGCCCACTCCTCACCAGTTACTGTCTCCCGAGGACAGCCCTTGGGGTCCCCGCTCCATACGGGAAATCAAGGCTCGGAGAGGTCAGCCAGCCCACGGGCGGCCACACCTGCCTCTACGGAGCCTTGTCAAGGCAGCGGGTAAGTCCTCAGCTGCCAATCCAAAGGTCTGCAGTTCAAAGCCACCACAGAGAACTATTTGCCAGTCTGCTTCCGTAAAGAGGATAACCTTGGAAGGCCTGAGGTGCAGTTACACACAGTCCCGAAGAATCACTGTGCGTCTAAATCAACTCCGCAGAGCAGACAGCACACTCCCCCCTCACATCCCAGGTTTCCAGACCCTAAGCCCCCCTCACCCAAGGAGCCCCAAATTGAGGAATCCCAGAAAGGACAACACTCAGCCTTATAATCCCAGCGAGAAAGCTGTTAGTTCCCACTGCTTCCGGCTGGGAAGAGGGAGCACTGCGGGTCCAGCACAGTCCCCACGGATCCAGACATTTTTACCTCTCAGATCCCTAATTCAGCTCTTTGTTCATGAAATTAGGTCTGGCATCCACCGTGCCTAACTGCTTTGAGGGTTAGGTGATATATATGCGTAGGACGGTGCCAGACCCAGCTCAACAGGTAAATGATCGGTATCGATACAAAAGCTGTAATATCCAGTCAGGTCTCTCCCATCCCATATACTATGTTGAGTGATTTTGTTTGGTTTTTCTAATTATATGGTCAATGTTGTTGGCCTAAGTTAATCACATCCCTGACCAGGTGAGAGTCTACTATTTGATCGGAGTCAAAGCCTTTGGACCCCAAGCTCCTATCAACGTGGAGTGGGGTAGTGGGGCATTTAGGAGAAGGTGAGGGCCGCAACAAGGGAATCTAAGTTAGAGGTGCACTGGTCAACCCCTATAGCTGCAGAGACGCAGCTTCTCCCTTTAAGGAGTTCTCAGAACTCTGGCTTGTGCTCCTAACCGGACACATAGCCCTAGAAGCCCATTCCCCTGGGGTGGGGGGCTGCCCAAGGGTCCTCACCTCTCGTTCAAGACTCTTCTCTCTGAAGATGGGTAGGTAAGTGCAGGTGAAGTCATCGGTCTTGGAATAGCAGGATCTAGAGGCAGCATGGCTGGGAGTGAGGTGTGGGCACAGTGGAGACACACCCTCTGTTCTTCATTGAGGGAAGGAGAGGGATTGCCTAGGACCACAGCTGGAGTGGGGCCACACGAGGTCCCTCAGTTGGGGTTCAGGCTCTGGGAAGCTCACCTTGTGGAGCTCAGGCCCTCAATAGCTGACAGCATCTCCTCGTCATACGAGTCGTCCTCTGAGCGCCCCTTGGGTGATGCACTTCTGGAATCAGACATCCCCACCTGCATCAAGCCAGGACCCCACATCTAACATAGGGGTGTGGGGAGAGGACCCACTGAAGTGGGCTTCCTGAGGTCTGTGAGGTAAGTATGCCCAGTGAGGCCCACAGAAAGAGCAGGTGACGGGCAGGTCCGGCTCTACCCACTGCCTGGTGGTGACCCAGCAGAAGGCGAAAGGCTAGGCCCTGACCCCACCCACGAGGCCAGCTTCAGGACCACATTGTACCAGCCCCACTGACTCCTCAGGAAACCAAACCACCGACCCGGGACATCTAGCTCCCGGCACTGATCCGAGCTGAACCACAGCAAACTCCACAGAGGTCCAGGGCTGGCCTTTGGGAGGCTGCCTCCCAGCAGAGCTGGGTCAGAGGAGTCAGCTGGAGGAGGTGAAGGGCCGAGCTTGGCAGAGGAGAGGGGATAGCACGCATACCTATCTGGAGCTCGGTGGTGGCGCCGCAGAGGGATGGTCTGGAGGAAGAGGGAAGGAGGAACAGACACAGGAGATGTTATGGGGATGAAAGTGTGGATCCAAAGGGCACCGTAGCGTTAAGTTCTCCTGTCTGCAGCAGGGCCCCAAGCGCCAGGTCTCAGGGGGGCATGAACAGCTTACCCTGGGCCTCTGGCCTCTCGGGACGGGGGTCTCACTGCTGCTCACGCTCTCTCGGTGGTTGAGGTGTGCGAAAGGCCGCGCAGCCCCCCAGGACTCCAGGTAGCGAGTCATGCGCACAGAGGCCCGCATCTTCAGCGCTGCGTCTCCTTTAGGCCTGAGGAGGTGCTGGCTGGGCCGCGGTGGCTGCTGGCTCTGCTGGAGGACACAAACCCAGCCTTCCTCATGTAGCTCCCCCACCCCGTCTGCCCTCCTCAAACACACCACTGCCTGGAACAGCAATCGGTGAGGGGGGACAGTCAAGGCGCCGGTGATGCCTTGAGGAGCTGCTATAACGAGGCCGCCCAATGCACCACCCACTGGGTGGACTGTCAGGTTCTGCCATCCCTGGCCCAGGAGGGTGACCAGCTTCAAGGGCCAATCAGGTTCAAGTTCCACTTACCCTCTGGGGGTTCCATGGAACCAGGAGTTAGGTGGCCTGAAGACTTCCCAGCCCCTCCCCACCCAGGGCATTCTAAAGAAACTGCACAAGAAAGCCCAAGTTACACCCTGCACCCCACACGTGACCAGCACACCCCAGTTTTCTTCTCCCTGTGGGGAGCAATCAGAAGAAAGAAGTCCTCAGGCAACCACTAGCCCCAACTAGGGCAGCCTTTCAGGGACTGTAACGTCATCAAACCACACAGCACGGACCTGTTAGGATGGCTGACTGGTCCACACCGACCTGCCGTGACCAAGGACATGGGTCTTAGGCCTCAGATGGAAGGTCAAGGTAGACAGTAAGGCATGCCTGCAGGCCAAGCGCAGACTCCTATGTACGTGCCAAAGAGCCCAAACCCCTCGGAATCCTCCAGAGTATGGACAGGAAGAGGCCCTAAGGCTAGCGGAGAAAATCGTGGGCCATCTCCTGATCTGAGAGCCCCGTCTAGCCCTTGCGAGAATTCCCTGTCTCCTCAGAACGCCTCAGGCACCCACTGGACAAGCCTTTTCAGCCTCAGCGCTTGATAAACCAGAGAAGCCATTGTTCTGGAAGCGACTATCCTATTAGGATGGAAACTGTCAACCCTTAGCTGAGTCTGTCTCCCTCGCCAGTGAGAAGACTGGTGTCCAGACGTCCCAGAGTCCTGGAAAGAGCAGTGTCCGGCCTTGTGCGGCCTGACAAGGATGGAGAAGGGAGACAGGAGGAACTTGACTTAGTCTCCGCTCTGTTGTTGGCAGCTTTGACAGCACAAACCAAGTCAACGGTTCTGTGATATTCGGGGAGAGCAGGCCAGAAACCCAGCGCCCGGGAGAGAGACGCGCTCCCTGTCGGTGAGAGCAGGCCCGCGAGTGGTAGGAGTTCCTCGGAGAGGGACACTGACAGCATCGGCAGTAGTAGACTTGGCACCTTCTATGTCGGAGGCTCGGGTTCAACTCCCAGCCAGTGTTCCTCATTGGAGGCTGGAGTGTGTGGCTCTGATGCTGACCAGGTTTCAGCTGGGCTTTAGAAGAAGACAGGCTAGAAAGAAAGGCCTGGTGACCTCTTCCCAAAAATCAGTCCATGAAAACCTGGCCGATCACGCTGGTGCAGTCCTCAGTTTATCATGGGATGTCAGAGTCCCGGGCAGACTTTCGTTCACTGGGCGTGGGGTTGCCACAAGTTGGGGGCCACCTTAACAGCAGCTCACATCCGTGCTGGCTGGGAGACAGGGAATCTTCTTACTCCAGGCCTTTCGTACTGTCTGGATTTTCAGCTCTGTGAATTACTTGCTCAAGAATAAATTAAACAGGGGGAGCTCTTGTGGCCTAATGGCAAGAAGCTACATTGCAATCCTAGAGATATGCAGTTCAAATCCACCAGATGCTCTGCTGGAGAAGGAGGGACAATTTCCTCCTGTACCAGTCAGATCTGATTTGATGATACACACACACGAAATAATAAAATTTAAAAAAAAAGAATAAATTAAACAAGGGAGAGGCGAGGTTGCCACAGAAAATATCACTGTTGTCGTCACGTGTCCTTGACTGAGAACAAACTCATAGCTGACCCTCCAGTGGGCTGTGAACTGCAGGGAAGACACCGCCCGTCCTTCTCCTGGGGAGCAGATGGGGGATTCCAACCCACTACGTTTGGGTAGGCAGCACGACTCCTTAGCCACTAGGCTACCAGAGCTTCTTTGAGATAAAACAAAGAACACCACCAGCCAGCCACCCCCACCCCTGCTGGCTTACACGGGGGTCGATGACCAAGTAGGTGCGGATGTTCATCTCCTTCAGGTAGGGGTCCCTCTGCTGCCCGTGCCCGTCCTCTACTTCGTATGCCTTGTCCAGGTGTTTCAGCGTCGCCTCTGTGATGTGCACCCGGCTGGGGAAGACCTGAGTCAGACAGAGAGCCCCAGGACCTGGTACCACAGGGGGGCCCAGGAGGCAGGGTCCCTGGCTGCTCCCCGCTGCAGGTGGGTGATTCTGTCCCCTGCTTCCACACCCACTGCCACCAGCCTGCCCCCCCAAGTCTCACCCAGGGACTCCAGCGGCCTCCATCCTGTTGGCCAGGGACACGTCGTGGGACCACACATCATACTGCCACTTGCGAAGCCCAATGACTCCACACAGAACATTTCCCGAGTGGATGCCGACACGCATGCTGATGTCCACACCCGTGGCCTCCCGCACCTGCCTGGGCAGAGCAACTCGGTCAGCCTGTACCCCGAACACTGGGCAGGATTGGGGGTGGCACGGGGCAGAGCAAGGTGGCGGGCAAGGATACTGAACACAGACAAGGATTCAGCAGACCCAGTTCACCGGAGAGGGACGTTCTCATGCTGATGGGACTGCCTCTTTAGGAGAGGCTGAGGGGTCCCTGTGAGCTATGAGGCAGTGTCACCCCCGACCTAACAGGTTCTAGGCGGAAGGAGAAAGCCACTTGTTGTGAACCACAAAAGGTCATGGTGTTGAGCCTTTAACACCACGCCTGGTGTTCTTCTGCCTGGGTTTGAAGAGACTTCCTGGCTCTACAAAGGGGCCGTGCACACCCCTAACTCCTGCAAAGAAAAGCAGCAAGAACCGGCCTTGGGGGCTTCAGACACCCAACCTCCAGAAAATGGGAACTTGCCAGCTGCCCTTTTCTTTTGCCCCCACGGCACCACACACAGATCTCAAAGCTAGAGTTTCACCAAGGCCTGAGGTACCCCCGCCCCAAATAAACAACAGCTGAGTTCCTTCACAAATGGGGGACACGGTGCAGCTGGCACCAGGCATCTACCGGCAGGGCCGGGGAAGGACAGACTCCATGGGGGGCAGGGGGGTCCAGGACAGCCTCGGCACGAGGAGGGAAAGTGACCTCACAAGAGGGGCAGACGCTTTCCAGAGGCCACACAGTCAGGACCAGGACCAGGACCCCAGGCTCCCTCTCCAGGGTTTTCCCAGCTGTATTAGAAAGATGGCAGGAGGCAGAGCCGGAGGTGGTGCTGGGCTTCCATCTGGACCTGTGTCACAGTCTCATCTAAGTACTGGTCTGTGTGGCTTGGCCACACCTGTCCCTCCACTATAGCTTCCCTGACAAATTAAGTGACCACAGAGAAAGTCACAGAAGCTGGGCGTTAGTGGGCAGGGCGTCCCAGGAGGCTGAATGTGTCCCCGCAGCCCGGAAGGCCACCCTCTGAGGCTAGGATCTTTAGAGGAGAGGCGGGAAACAGATGAAGCTTTGGAATCAGATCCCGAATCTAAGGGTTTCTCGTCACCCTGACGGCCTCCTCCAGATGCTGTCCTTCCCTTGGTCCCATCGTCACTCTGCGCAGCTCTGAGCCGTGAGAGTCTCTCTGGGCCCTGGCGCCCTGACACAGACGTTGGGCACACGAGGAGGACACAAGCCGACCAGGTTTGGGCCCTCTGGGTTGCTGTAGGATCCAAGTAAGCCACTTCACCTTGAGCCTCAGTTCCCTCGTGTGTAAAATAAGAGTGATATGTGTTCCCCCTCTCTGCACTTTGGAAGGAGAAAAGTTCCACCACGACAAGACACAACAGCCCACGTCTGCACCTGGCACCTACTTAATGGCCTCACACATGTCCAGCCCCATCTTCACGCAGTTCCGGGCATGGGTGGGCAGGGACACAGGCAGGCCCGACACACAGTAGTAGCAGTCACCAAGGATCTTGATCCGCATGCACTCATTGGCCTGTGGGACCATGAAGAGACAGGGGGTCAGCAGGGATCTGCGGGCGAGCTCAGAGTCACACTGCCCTCTCCCACCACCAGGGGGCGTCTGGCTCTTCCCCCTGGTGCCATGAGAAGCGGCCTCTGCTGGGCCTGGTCAAAGCACAGAGGACAGAGGCGCTCACCATGAACAACCTCCCCGGGCGTGAAAACAAAAATTCTGAAAGGCCTCTCAGGGAGCAGCTGCCTTTGCTGCATTTGGAGCGTGGCTCGCTCTGGGGAACAATAGCAAACAAAGATCCTGCAACCAGTGAGCTCACGTGCTGGACGGGAGGGTCGGACATTAAGCAGAATAAATAAAATCTATAAGCATCCAATAGCGAATGCACTGAAGAGAAAAATAAGATAGAGGAAAAATAAGCGAAAAGTTTCCAGGAAGCCAGAGGAGGCCTCTGAAAGGTGACTTCTGAGCAAGGACCCGAAGGAACCCAGAGACAGTCACACCAGTGCCGGCAGGAAGAGTCTCCCTTGGGTGGCAAAGAGCCTGAGGCTAGGAGAGACAGAGGGCATTGAGATGAGCAAAGAGGGATCAAGTAAACCAAGGGACTTGGGGGAAACACCCGGGCCAACCACCAGAGGCCTAGCAGGCCAGCAGGCAGTGGGTGTCAATGCAATCCCTGAGCTGGCTGTGCGCCAGGCAACTTAAACGAGCAGGTCTGGGCGACGTAAGATGAGAAGATAGGAGAGGTGAGTGAGGGAAGGAAGTAGTTAAGGATGAACATCAGGCCGCATGGAACAAGGCTGAGGCAGAGCGATGGCCACAGAAGGGTACTAGAAAGGCATTCAAGGTTTCACCTGAAATGGGGAGTTGACCACAGGAACACTGGGCAAAGGCTGCACGTACCTTGTGGGTTGCTTTTGTTATGTTGTCGTGGTGGTGGTGGTTACATGCTGTTGAGTGAAGTATGAATCACAGCGACACTATGGACAACAGATTGAAACCTTGCCCTCTTCCTGTGCCATCCACACAATCTCTGCCATGCTTACACCCTTTGTTGCGGTGCCTGTGTCAGTCTTTATCGTCGAGGGTCTTCCTCTCTGTCAATGATCCTCTACTTTTCCCAGCCTTATGTTGTTTTTTACCCCAAAGACGGACAGCACTTGACCACAGCCCAGAGTACGTGATGTGACGTTTCACCATGCTTGCCTCTAAAGAACACTTTGGTTGCACTTCTCCAAGAAAGATCCGCTTACCCTTTTGGCAGTCTGCGGTCTATCCAATACTCTTCACCAACACCAATATCCAAGAAAGATGGGCAATCTCTGTCCAAGTGATTTACAGCCTTAGAAGTCCATGGAGATTCAGCTGTCAAGTGGTTCTGACTCAATGAGACCGAGTGGAGCTTAGATTGGAACCAGAATTTGCTTTCTATCAAGTTTTCAATCACCGGTTCCCCACATACAGAAATCATCTAGAATGTTGTTGTTGTTGTTAGGTGCCAGCGAATTGACCACATTCAAAGCAACCCTGTGAACACAGCCCTGTACCCTTCCTGTGCCGTCCACATCATCTCTGACACACTCAAGCTCGTTCTTACAATCACTGTGTCAGTTCATTTTGTTAAGAATCTTACTCTCTTTTTCTGAGCCTCCACTTTTACAAGAAAGCACCCCTCCTAACAACATGCACAAAGTAAGTGAGATGAAGTTCATCAGCCTTGCCTCCAAGCACTTTTTCCAAGACCAGCGTGTTTGATCTTTTTGGCAGTTCATGGGATATTCCGTACTCTTCTCCAACCCCACAGCTCAAAGGCATTCATTCTTCTGTCATTTCTTAAGCACTCTGATGGGTGTGGGACACGGGTGTTTCAAGTTTCCCACATGACTCAAGCATGCAACCAAGTGAGGGGACGAGCCCTCAGATCTCCACTTCAATCTCTATTCAAGCTGCTGCCTCTTCCAGAAAACCTGTCTTGACCTTGTCCCATTGGGTTAGGTGTTCCCCGGGTTCCCTGCTCCCCTTGCTCTCCTCTTCAGAGAGCCCAGTGTGTAGCTCACGAGCAATCAGATGGCTGGTCCCATGCCCTTTGCTTCCTCAGAGCCTGGCACTCGGAAGTTCTCAGGACCGTCTTGTGAATTCACAAATGACTGGATCCCTCCCCAGTGTGTGAGTAAATGGGACCTCAGCCAAGCACTGTCCGGTCTCCCCAGTCTGCTGTCCCCTGCAGTCCCCCTCAGCCTGTGTCTCTCCTCTTGCTTGGCATCTGTCCCCCTCCCCGGTGACTTTATGTCAAATTTCCACCACTCACCTAAGGACTCAAATCCAAGCATGCGGCCATACCCCCACCCCCGTCACTGTGTCCTACTTAGGCTAAGCCGTCTGGATTACATGACACAAACCTCTCTCTCTACACTGGGCTTCTGCACAAACAGCCTGAACATTTCCCTCTTTCCATGGAATCTCTTAATCTCTTTTCGGCTTTCTCAAACTTAAATAAAGCCGGGTGTGGTTTGGCATTTCAGGGCTCTCCCGGGCTCTCAGCAGAAGCTGGGCCTCTAATGTTCCATAGGGCGGGGGAGCCATCCTCTCCTCCGGGCAGTCTTCCTGAGGGTCCTCTGAGCCCCAGCGAGCCCCCCGTGACCCCCTCGTGGCCATCATCAATCTGCCCACCAGCCTCTCACGTGCTGGGGAAGGTTGTGGCCACCTCCCCCATCTCCACTTGCGCCTGTAACTCAGGCCGGCACACAGCAGCCACTAGGAAAGTCCGCTGAGGGAATGCTGCACTCGAGCCGAGGTTTCGCAGCCCTGATGGCAACACGGTGCTGGGCACACCCTCACCCTCACGGACGCAATGTGTCAGCAGAGGGCAGAGGGAACAGAGCGCAGCCTTGCAGGGGCCACATAACAGCCACAAAGGGACAGAGGGCCCACCTTGGCGATCTGGTCAAACTTGCCGAACAGCTCGTTGAGCACCACCACCAGCTCCTTCGGCGAGCAGTCACTGGCCAGCTGTGTGAAGCCCACGATGTCTGCGTAGAGGATGCTGCAGAGAGCGGCCAGGGGAGGGTCAGGGCCAGATCACTGACTGTGGAGCGACGTGGTGGCTCATCCGGAGTTCCACGAGCACTTGCCAGCCCCGAGTCAAGGGTGTGCTCCCATGGGGACCCCAACCTCCCCTGACTCTTGTCAGTTCCCAGGGAAGGGATGGAAAGCTCTGCCTGTAGAGCTGAGAAAGATTCAGAGGCTCAAAGTCAAAGCCAAATGCAGCAAACCCTGGAAGCTGGTGGGCCCCCAATCACTGCAGGGCGGCGGCCTCACACCTCAGAAACTCTTTCCTGCTCCTAGCTCTGTATTTTCACCTTTAGTTCAGACTTACGATAACCTCCGGTAAGATGTGACTTCATGCTCCCTCGCGCCAAGCGCCATACCCAATGCCTCACACACTCCTATAAGATTCCCATTCCTCAGATGAGCAAAGTGGAGCCCAGAGGGGTGTGCAAGCTAGAACTGCACTTTGCAGCGGCTTTCTTGGTGCCAAAATCTGTGAGTTCTTGGGCTTCCCAGAGCCTAGAGAGATGTCAGCAGGGCCACTGCTCAGGCGTGATGCTAAGCTGGACCTCACGGGATGCAGGCTGCATTTAACAGGGTAAGATTCTGCAGTTCCTTTAAATCAGCCAGAACCAGGTGTCAGATGGGGGGTGGGCCCTTCATCTCTCTTTGAAGGCTTATGCTCCTTCGAAGTAGCCCTCTTGGCACAATCTATTTAGCACTGGGCTGCCATCACACAAGGGTCAGTGGTTTGAATCCAAAGGAGAATGATAAAACGGTTCACGTCTGTAAAGATCTGCAAACCCTGGTAGTTCTATTCTGTTTTACAGAATCATTATGAGTGGGAATGACCCAATGGCGGTGGCGTATGTGTCCCTTCGAGAGGACACTGAGCGGTGCAAACACTTAAGGTGCCGAAATGGTAACGAAATGGTTGGAGGGGTTTGAAAAAAAATTTTTTTTTCTTTAACTAAAAGGTACCTCAAAAGAAAGGGCAGGCAATTCACCTCTGAAACACTATTCACTGGAAACCCCGCAGAGCACCAGTCAGAGAAGGGCGACAGCAATTGGTTTGCACAGCTGCCCGTGGAGATTCACCTGAAGCTTAGAAACACCTTCCACCCAGGCAGTCACGCTTGCGCACATGCTTTTTAATTTCTTCTGGCTCCTGAAATCTCCTCTAACACGAATGTGAGCAACCTGACTGAAGTGTACTCCTGTGTGAAGAAGTAGGGATTCCCGCCTCTCTAGGAAATGAGTGGGAAACTGGTGAATGGGAAATGAACAGGAAGAGGTTCATATGTGCCTCGAGCCGGGGTGAGCCACAGAGAGTTGCATGTCTGCTGACCCTCTAATTCCTATGTCGCCTAAGACTCTCGAAAGAACATCAGGGATACGACCTTTCAGAATAAGGTCATGGTCACAGATCCTGGCGGTCATGGCTATAGACCCTGGAGGTCATGGTCACAGACACTGGAGGAGGCTGCCTTTCTGGCCACCTGACGTTCCCAGACTAGGAGGTCATGGTCACGGATCCTGGAGGAGCTCTCCCGTCTGCCCACATGATGTTCCCGGAATAGGAGGTCATGGTCACAGGCCCTGGGGGAGCCCACCTTTCTGCCCACCTTACGCTTCCAGAGGTCATGGCCATAGACCCTGGAGGTCACGGTCTCCCTTCTGCCCACGTGATGCTCCCACAATAGGAGGTCATGGTCACAGACCCTGGGGGAGCCATCCCTTCTGCCCACCTGATGTACCCAGACTAGGAGGTCATGGTCACAGACCCTGGGGGGACCCTGCTCTGGTGCCCACCTGATGTACCCAGACTAGGAGGTCACGGTCACAGACCCTGGCGGATCCCGCCCTTCTGTCCACTTGACGTACCCAGACTAGGAGGTCATGGTCACAGACCCTGGCGGTCATGGTCACAGACCCTGGGGGAGCCTGCTCTGTGCCCACCTGACGTTCTGGTGTCTCTTGACATAAAGGCTGTGGAAGTTGTTGTCGGGCACGTGGCGGCGATCCCTGTGCTCCTTGAGCCTCTCAATGATGGTCAGCTTCATGCCCATGGAAATGTGGGCGGGCAGCACGGACAGCAGCAGGTTCTCCTGGACAGGAGGGTGCAGGTGAGTAGGGGTCCACCCCAGACCTGGCCTCTATTCTCCCTGCCGCATCCCGGACTCCGTCTCTGCGGGCCCCTGTCCCCAACTGTCCCCGAAGTGAGATAATCTGGGTGTCTAGTCCTGTTCTTGATGCAGATGGTCGTTCACAGGGTCTGAGAGTCCAGCAGAGAAAGAAGGGTCAGGTGAACAGGGGTTATGGAGGAGGGAGAGAGAAAAATGTAGGGAGTGTGGGGGATGTGGATATAGGGAAATATTGGGGGGATAGGAGACAGAGCTGGGGAACTGTGAGTACAGGTAGGTAGAGAAACAGTGACTTAGGGAAGATGAGGATGTGGGAAGTGGAGAGTTTTGGGGGAGGAGGGAGGTGACAGAGGTGAAGGGCACAGGGAAGGGGATGGGAGGCATGAGGATGAGGGTGTACAGGGGATGAGGACTGTGGGAGATTATGGGAATAGGAGGTCAGGGGAGTTTGGGGAGTCGTGGAGAGGGTTATCATGATGGGGGAGGTGGGTGTCATGAGGGGAGGGAGCAGTGAGGAATGGGGGTCTGGGAGGGGCACGGGGGTGAGGTTCGAGGGGGATCAGCCCCAGGGAGGGGCGCACCTGCTGACGCTTCTCAATGCGTAGCTTGCTGCGGGTCTGAATGCACTTCTCGGTGTAGGTGAAGAGGTCTCGGGAGGCGTCTTGCATCTGGTGCTTGTGGAAGGCCCCGGTGAGGTTCCCACAGAGGAAGACCAAGGCACTGGCCAGTATCTACGGAGGAGACAGGGTGGAACTCGGCATTCGCCTTGGCTGTGTCCCCACTGTCCTGCTGCACCCGGCCCCTGAGCGGGCGTCCAGGCCTACGTCAGTGACCTCCCTTCCCTACGTCAGTGATGGCACCCCTTCCCCGTCCCTGACCGCCCAGCCCCGCTCAGATGGGCACCTCGTCCTGGGGCAGGCAGGACACATCGGGACTCCTTACGGGCACCGGGACCACACTCAGACCCCACCACGCATGTGCCGGGCACTTCCTGACCCCAACAGCTCAGGCATCAAGGACCAGAGACACAGAGGCAGGACCACCTTGGAGCACTTGGACCACTTTGGGACCAAAGTATACCAAAGGCACTCACTAAGGGAATGGTGCCCAGCTGCCCTCAGAGTGGGCACCTAGGCCTGTCAGAATGAGGTATGCATGACTCACCAACCATTATTAATTAAAGGCTTACCTCCCTCAACACCAATTCCTAGGACACCATGCCCAGGCCTGACAAGGAGGGGTGACCCCTTGGGAACCTCACAGCAGGCACTTGACTCAGGAAGAGAAGGTACAAGCTAGTCTCCGGGGAGAAGGGTGTCTCAGGCCAGAAAATAAAAGGTGGGGGGGAGACTGGCTGTCTGAGCAGCAGACTTGGGGAACCCGGCCTGAAGGCACAGTATCCTGCCTTCAAATTCTGCTTCAAGACCTTGGGGGCCCAACTCACCCCGACCTCCAAACCACACCCCCTGCACCAGGGGTCCAAGAGGTCCCAACCCCACTCCTTACCTTCAGCCCCATGTGGTTTGTAGGCGTCTTGGAGGGCTCCACGAAGACGAGGACGCCAAGCACAAAGAGGTGGGAGGTGGTGGAGAAAACCCCCATGACAACGGCCCCCCGCATGCCGAAGGGCAACATTGTGTACACGACGAAGATGATGAACAGGAAGAAGGGCACCTAGGGACAGACACGCGTCAGGTCGGGGCTGGGGCGGTGCCCAGCCGAGCCGCCCCCGAGCCTTGCACACAGACAGGCGAAACCTGAATGCGGTGCCTCGACTGCCCGATGTGCCTTCCGTCCCCCACTTCCTGCTCCCTAGGAGTGGCATCCACTCCCTAAACAACATGCCTCCAGAAACTCTATGGACTTTGGTAAATATCCACAGCTGTAGAGGGGCTTCAAGCCTTTTGTTCGTAGGGTCGCTATGAGTCGTGCTCGACTTGAAGGCAATCAACAACAACAACAGGGTGATAGACACAGACAGCAACAATGGCGGACATGGGAATGGAACAAAAAAAAAAGGGTGCAGTGTGCTTCTGGGTTTGGCCCCGCTGGCATTACTCATTGCTTTAGGTGCTGGTTTGGTTCTGTGGCCAAGGCTGAGCCTTGCGGGGAGCAAGGTGGATCAGGAGGATAGTTCATCACAGAGCGTCCCTGAGCTAGTGCACTTGCTTGCTGCCTCCAGCACACAGCTCCATCTGCCCATTCACGGGAAGCCAGGCAGGAAGGCCAGTGGCTGGTCTAGTCTGCTTCATAGCTACCCCTCTGGGGCAGTGCCTCGTCTGGAGGCGGGGAGTCAGTCAGTCTCTCTCTCTCTCTCACTGAACTTTCAGTCTATACAGTTTAAATGAGGCTGGACCCACCCAAAGAGAGAAGCAGGATCACCAGGCAGAGTCCCCCTCACCAACAGAGTCCTATATGGCCCTGTGACCAGGCCAGGCCATAGGGCTTAAGCTGGGGTCTGTTGCTGGTTGGATAAAGGTTCTCTCTTTCAGCTGATAGGTGGGTGGCCTGGGATTCTGCTTCTCCCTGGGGTTAGACGGCACTGAAATCAAACACCAGAGGAAAGCAGGGCAAAAAAAAAAAGGCCATGTCTCCTCATCCAGTTAGAGTCCCAGGATTGAGCACCAATCTTTGTGCACCAATCTGTGCCTTTTAGCACTTCCTAGGGAGTCTGTTTCCAATCTAGTGAGGATCCACTCCAAAACACCAAAGCCAGACAGTACAGATCACTGGGCACAAAACCACCCTGGCATTGTCTAAAGCCTCAACCCAAAGCAATGGAGAGTAGTCTGGGCCTCATACACCATGCCAAATGCAGGCCCTCACCTCGAGAAGGGACCCGATGCTTATTAAGAACAGGAGCCAACTCCAGTGCGCCCAGCCCACTACGGTAAAGATGCTCGGGGCCCCATCTCATTACCGGATCCCACATACAGTTCGCCGTCACCCAGGAGTCGAACAGCAGCACGTAGCCCAGTATCATGAGACAGACCCAGATGAGCAGGGCCAAGACCCTGAGCCCCCGACGTGCCAGGCAGTTGAGGTACACCAGGAGGTACGAGGTGACAAACACGACAAGCACCACCAGCGTGGTCCCCAGGAGAGCCTGATGTTCGGAGAACTCCTAGGGAGGGCAGACAGACACATGAAGGACACTCTGCACTGAGCAACATCACTCATTCACAGGGATGAAATCAAGTCCCCACCAACCCCAGGTTCTTCCTGGCATCCAGGCCTTTTTCTGGGCTCTGCCTCTGCCTTAGCTGACAACTTCCCAATCTCAATCACGGGAACTCCAATCCATCCTCTTCTAAGGAACTCTGCTTGGCTACTAAGTGAAAGGTTAGCAGTTCAAACCTCCTAGCCTCTCTATGAAAAAAAAGAAGTGCCTGTCTACTTCTTTAAAGATCACTTTCTGGTGGCCTAGTGGCAAGAAGCTGCACTGCAATCCCAGAGGCACACGGTTCAAATTCACCAGATGCTCTGCCGGGGAAGGAAGGACAATCTCCTCCTGTACCAGTCAGATCCAATTTGACGGTACACACACACACACACACACACACAAATAATAAAATTTTTTTAAAAAAAGATCACTTCCTTTGAAACCCTATGGGGTAGTTCTACCATGCTCCATAGTGTCATTATGAATTGGAATTGACTTGAGCCTAACAGGTGATGCAATGATGTCAGTGTAAAGACTAAGGTACACCTGATAAAAGCCTCGGTCTTCTCAATTGCTCACTATGCATCTGAGAACTGGACGACAAGTAAGGAAGACAGGACAATCGATGCCTTTGAGTTGTGGGGACAGAGCAGAGTATTGGACATACCATGAACTGCCAGGAGAACAGAAAGATCTGTCCTGGAGAAAGTGAAACCAAATTACTCCTTGGAGGCAAGGATTTTGAAACTCTGTCTCACGTACTTTGTGTATGTTGTGAGGAGGGGCCAGTCCATGGAGAAGAACATCATGCTTGAAAATGTAGAAGGTCATCAGACAAGAAGATGACCCTGGATGAAACAGATTGACACAGTGACTATGGCAATGGGGTCAGGTGTGTCAGAGATGGTGAGGCTGGCCCAGGATAGGGCAGGGTTCAGTCATTATTCACAGGGTCTCTACGAGTCATAGTCAACTTGATGGCACACAATAACAACCACCCTCTCTGATCAGGCACAGCCAAGTCTCTCCATCTTTCACCTCTGGTGCTGCTGGTGGATTTAAATCTCCAGAGATCTGAAGCCAATGGGCTAGCAGAGAAACTCATGACAGACCAAAGCACCAGAGCAAAGCAAGTTTAGGTCAAAGACAAATGTGGTAGTATATGCCTGGATAGCTATGTTTAGGAGTGCTGAGATCATTTAATGATGTTTGTCAAGGTACAGGCATGGAAAGCAGACCTATACACACAGGTCATCTGCTGGGATAGATTAATGATGTCTGTCAAGGTGCAGGCATGGAAAGCAGGCACACACAGACCATCTACTAGCATAGATTTATGATGTCTGTCAAGGTGCAGGGATGGAAAGCAGGCATACACACAGGCCATCTGCAGGAATAGATTAATGATGTCTGTAAAGGTTCAGGAATGGAAAGCGGGCATACACACAGGCCATCTGCAGGAACAGATTAATGATGTCTGTCAAGGTGCGGGCATGGAAAGCAGGCATACACATAGGCTATCTGCTGGGATAGGTTAATGATGTCTGCCAAGGAGGCATACACAGTCCATCCCTGACTTGGTTCTTCAATAAAACACATTTACACAATGGAATACTACACAGCAGACAGGAGCAATGATTTTGTACATTACTACCTAACTTGGGAGGGCCTGGAGAGCATTATGCTGAGTGAACTAACTCACGTCTCACAAGGATAAATATTGTATAAAACTATTATGAATAGTAGAATGAGTATAAGGAATTCAAGAAGGGTGGGAAAGGGTGGAAGCTGAGGGATGTGGATGTGCAGGGGGAGGGGGCATTAATTATGGGGTTGTACAATTTGATGGTGGCGGTGAGAGAAATTGAAAGAATCTGTTAGAATTTTGTAAATAAAATAGCGTAAAATTTAAAAAACAAACAAACAAAAAAAAACCCCACCAAAACACAACATCAGAGTAACGAAAAGAGAGGGTAACATATTTGACCAAAGCCACTTTAAGCTTCAAACTTAAAAGTGTATTCCATCTGATCAAACACTCTGCACAGCCCTTTTCAGGTGAGGACACTAAGACTTAGAAAGGATCAGGATTTGTCCAAGGTCTCACAATTCCCGGATGTCAGAGCTGGGATTGGAGCCCCAGAGAAAGCCCCGGCCCAGCCCCTGCCGTCCTCCAGGTGCCCTCACTCACCCCGTCGACGACACTCATGATGAGAAGAGGCGTGAGGGCTATGACCCCCACCAGCAGCAGTGTGAGCAGCAGTGGTCCTTGCTGGCTGGTGAGACTGTACTTGTTATAGAGCGAATCTTGGTCCAGGCCTCTCTCATCCTCCTTGAGGAAACAGTGTCCCTGGGCTGGCATCCTCCACCTTTTTCACACGCTGCCACCAGCTGACTCAGGAGACACCACGGTCTAGGAGATATGCGTCTGCTGACACCTTCTTCTGTGGGCCGAGGCCTTGGGTGTCTCCTAACTTGGTAGGTGAGCTGGAGGGCAGGTCCTGGAGGCCTGCAATGCCACGAGCTGCACAGCGCACGCACACTGCAGATGCCAGGTCTTTTCACAGTACTGCCAGAATCTTGCTTTGCATCCAGGCTGGGGTAATTAGATACGTGGGGTTCTCAGTTCTGCAGAGACATCAGACAGACCCAGGATTTTACCTCAGTAGACAGCATCAAGAATGGGTAGCCTCTGGGAAGGGTAACAGGGCTGCAGGACTCACCTTCTCAATTTAGCACCTAAGCTAACCTTCACTGTTGTTAACTGCTGCGGAGATAACCCCAATCTCATAGGGAACCTATGCGCCATAACGCTGCCCAGTCTTGCAGCATCCCCACAATCCAGTGTGGATCAAGCCACTGAGACCCATATGCATTTCAATATTCAAAAGCAGATCTCTAGGCTGTTCTCTTAGTCTGGAAGCACCACTGAAATCTGCTGTGCATCATAACATGCCATTTCCACGGGCAGAGTCCTGGGGTAAAATACATACAAGTCTCTGGCCTGTATCTGCATCTGACCTGATCTGCAGAGTTTAGATTGTCCAGTCCATGAAATTTGTGAGCCAGCAAAGGGCACCAGACTAGCTGCCAAACTACAGTTTATGTACTAGATTAAGAATCATGTTCGCACTCCAAGGCCACAAAGCTAGTCCTCTGAGTTTTCTTCTAAAGTAAGTAGCACTTTCCAGCCTAACAGCGAGCAGGGATTGTCTGTCATTTTGCTGCATGGTGGTAACTTGCATGTTGCTGTCATCCTGGAATCTATGCCACCAGCGTTTCAGATTATCAGTGGCATACACAGGTTTCAGCAGAGCTTCCACTAAGACCAAGAAGCAGGACTGGCCGTCCACTTCTGAAAGAACAGGCCCTGGAAAATCCTATGCCCCTCAGGTTGGAAGGCACACAAAACATGATTGAGGAAAAGCTGCCTCCCCAGAGTAGTCTATCAAATGCCATAGACGGAGGAAAGTTTTCACTCACAAAAGTCCTGATTTGCTGATGTGGCAAGACTCAAAATGAGGACAAATAGCTGCAAACCCATTAATAATTGGGACATGGATTGTACAAAGAACGAATCTAGCAAAACTGGAAGTTGTGAAAAAGAAAGTGAAATGCATAAAGACTGACATCCTTTAAGTTGCTGTTGTTAGGATGATGGCCCAGAGCAATCCTACGAGCAGCACTAGTCAAAGCCCAGAAATTTGGAACAGTTACCTGGCCAACCAACCAGAAGAATATTTATTCCTGAGAGAGAGAGAAGGTGACCCAACAGAGTGCAGGAGTATGGAAATTATTGAATTAGATAATTGACAACACATGCAAACAAAATCTTTCTGAAGATTATTTTTAAATGGCTGTAAAAGGTCATTGACAGGGAACTGCCAGAAATTCAAGCTAAATTCAGAAGAGGCTTGGAAGAGGGGATATCATCATTGATATCAGGTGGGTCTTGGGTGAAAGTAGAGAATATGAGAAAGACGTTCACTTGTGTTTTACTGACTATACAAAACCATTAGACTGTGTGGATCATGATAAATTATGCATAACACTGAGAAGAATGAGAATCCCAGAATACTTAAGTATGCTCATATGAAACCTATACATAGACCAAGAAGCAATTGTCTGAACAGAACAAATGAACACTGCATGGCTTGAGATCAGGAAAGGTGTGCATCAGTGTTGTACCTTTGAGCCATAACTATTCAATCACTCAAGGAGCTGGACTATATGAAGAATAATGACATCAGGACTGGAAGATGACTCATCAACAACCAGCATTATGCAGATGACACAATCTTGTTTGGAGAAAGTGCAGAAGACTTGGAGCACTTACTGTAGCCTTCAATAAGGATTGCATCACAACATCAACAAAAATACTCACCCCTGGACCATTAAGCAATGTCATGACAGATGTTGAAAGGATGAAAGTTGTGAACAACTTCATTTCACTTGGATCCACAATCAACTCCTTCAATAGCAGTAGTCAAGAACCAAAAAAAAGTGTGTTGAATTGAGAAAAATCTGTTGTACCGCTCCAAAACACTACAGAGCAAAGATGTCAGCTTAAAGACTAAGGTGTGCCAGACCCAAGCCATAGCCTTTTCAATTGTTTTGTATGCATCTGAAAATTAGGCAATGAATAAAGAAGACTGAAGAAGAATTGACGCTTTTGAATTGTGCTTTTGATGACGAGAATTGAACATACATACTGTGGGCGACCAAAAGAACAAATCTATCCTGGAGGAAGTGAAACCAGTGTGTCCAAATTGACAAGAGGAAGTAAAATTGTATTTGCAGATGACATCTTATATATTAAAAAATTCCTAAAGGCTCAATAAAAGTATTACTGTGTCTAAATGACTGATTCAGCATGTGGCAGGGTAACAATATCAATACACAAAAGGGGGAATGCTGAAAGCAGAGCATATCACAAAGATATCTGTGTTTTATTGTCTATGCAAAGATATTATAATGTATGGGTCATAAATAATAATTGATAACATTGGGAGGAATTAAATTAACATTTAATTGTGCACAGAATCTCAAAGTACCAACTTTGCTTCCTCTGGTTTCTTTGTGCCCACCCCAGCCAGAAGCTACCCACTGGTCCAGTGGCCCCTAATCTGTCTCCTCCACCATGCCAGCAAACTCAGAGTCCATGGCCCTACTCACCCCTCCTTCCCAGACTGCCTGAGCATCTGAGCAGGCCAAGGGGGCCATGCAGCATGGGGCTGCCTTGCAAGGCTGAGGTGGTGGCCGGAAGAGCCCTTCTCTTCACGGAAAGCAGCCCCACCCCGTCTCCCCTACCAAACCACTTCCCTGACTTCCGGAGCAGCACTCACATAAGGGCTTCAGGGGCCCCTCACCACAGCTGTCCCCGGAGCCCAAGCCTCTCACTTAACGTCACTCACTCCTTCCACAAACGCTTGTCCTCGGGATCCAGGTTCTAGGTTGAGTAGCAAGAGATCACAGGGATGGAGTCTTGGCACACGGCAGGCCCCAGGCCCCCAGAGCCCTGTCCTTCCACTGAGATGGTCCACCAGGTTATCCCCTAACTGCTAGGATCCCAAGTCCCATCTTTGCTCAACCCTTGGCCAAGCAGCTCCTCTGGAGTTCCTACGGCCTTCTTCCTGGTTGTATGATTTGACTGATTTCGGTTCCCCAAACAAGCCCCACCTTTTTGGCTGCAGGCTCCAGAGTTTAAAACTGTTGCCCACCCTCTAAGATATCTTGTCCACTACTTCAGAGCAAGGCTCAGCTGCCTCTTCCCGGGAGAGACGCCTGGTCCCCTCCCAACAGGGCTTTTGTGTCTGCCTGAGCTTCCAGTGTCTGGCTTGACTGCCACAGCCTAGGGCCTCATAGAGACGAGTAGGAGCTACAACATGTAATAGAAATGGGGGGCCCTTGGAGAGATTCATTCCTTCTGTTAGGCTTCGCTGAGTACAACTCACAACAACCCTTTGAAGAACAGATGTGAATGCTGTCCTATCCGCTGGTCCACATCATCTCAGACGCACTAGAGCCCACTGCAGCACTCTCTGTGTCCATCCCTCTGGTTGAGAAGCTTCCTCTCTTTTGCCAATCCTTGCCAGCAGCAAGCTGTCTCAGTTTTCTAAGACAAAAGCTGCCCTATTTGATTACCCAATAGGGTCAGAGAGCCTCTCTCAACACCACTTCAGACCCTGCTCAGCCCACAGCCAGGCCAGACACATCTCGGTGTGATCATGGTTTATTCTCTGGACAGGGGACCCTGCCTAGTCCGGATCTCTCAGACTTACACCCACCCCCAACCCCACTGTACCTGGCTCTTCTCTGGGATTCCACCTCAGCCAAGCCAGTTGCTGCACCCCAAGGGAGAGGACCTGGTCCTCCATCTTCACCCCCTCAGGCAACATCCAGGCTCACACATGTGATGTCTCTCTCCGCCAACTACCTAACGAAAGTGAGCTACGTCAGGGACCCACAACTTCCTCTTCTGACCTCTGCTGCAGCAGAAAGGCTAATACTGAACCCTCTGCTCATTGCCTCTCGTGTGACAGTCCCCCTCCTACAATCATAGAAGAGTCTTCAACAGGAGTTAGTCGTTCAGGCTGCTGCTCCAGTCACTTCAGGGATACTTGTACCTTTTAAGCAGGAATAATTATGGACACACAGACACACACACACACACACACACGTACCAAGATCTTCAAGAGAAGGCTAGAGACTGCTGTTCCAAGGCAAGGGAATAAGGCATCCTTGACAAGCAAGTCATAGACCAGGCACAGGCATCTCAGCCTAATTCTGCTACACTTTGCCTTAATGGGTCTGTTTCCTTCTTCAACTCTGCAAGGCTCTGAGAGGAAGGCTGGGGGACTAAGACTGCTAAGTGGTACAAAGGAACTTGGGAGTATTCAATCCCAGAAGGACTGAAGAACTTTTAAGTCCTGATCTGCGTGCTGGTAAACTGGATGTAAGGGAACTGTTGTTGACTGCTGCTGAGTGAGCACGACTCATAGCTGGCCTATGAACAAAAGATCTGAAGTCCTTCTACAACTATTGAAATTTACCAAAGTTCATAGAGTTTCCGGAGGCATGTTGTTTAGGAATTGGATGCCACTCCTGCTTCCAAATAAGGGAACTAGGAGGTGTCAATCCTAGGAGGATCGGAGGATTGAGTTTTGTTTTAATTTTTTAAAATTTTATTATATTTTGTGTGTGTACCGTCAAATCAGATCTGACTGGTACAAGAGGAGATTGTTCCTCCTTCTCCAGCAGAGGATCTGGTGGATTCGAACCTCACACCTCTGGGACTGCAGTGCAGCTTCTTGCCATTAGGCAACCAGAGCTCCCTTAGGATTGAGTTTTTAAGTCTTGATCTGGGTGTTGGTAACATGGTTATAAGCCTAAGAAATATCACCACTTTGTGCACTTAAAATTTATGCGCTTTATTAGAAGTTAGAAGGAAGAGATATTGATAGGTACTTGTTTATTCAATTGACAGATTAATCAACAGTTAATTAAGGGCATGGTGCTGCGGTGTTCTACCGACGGTGGAAAATGCTAAGGCCCGGCCTGACTCAGTGAGTAAGAGACCACATGTGGCCAAGTGAGATAACGTGCACCGACAGTGTGAGGGGAGATGCGTGAGACAGAGCCTGTGGGGTGAACAGCAGTGAGGAAAAGAGGAAGCATCACTGGATGTGACTGGGGGCCTGCTGAGTGGGTCATGGAGAGCTCTAGGGTCTGGAGGCTGTGAAGGTGCTGGAGGTGGGACGAGGCCTGGCCTCAGAGGAGACCTCAGCTGCAGAGTGAATGACGGCTTGACGAGGCTATCCAGAGAAGCTGCCACACGAGGTGGGAGGTTCCCCAGAAAGCACAGGAGCTAACAAGGCCTGGAATAGCCAGCGAAAAGCATAATCTGATCAAGAACACCAAGCCCAGCACAGGCGGACTATACAAAAACAACAAACAAACCACAAAACCAAAACCATAGGGGAGCTCTGGTGGCCCAGTGGCAAGAAGCTGCACTGCAATCCCAGAGATAAGCGGTTCGAATCCACCAGATGCTCTGCCGGAGAAGGAGAGGCCATCTCCTCCTGTACCAGTCAGATCCAATTTGACGGTACACACACAGAAAATAATAATAAAAAAAATTAAAAATTAAAAAATATATACAAAAAAACCCAAACCAAAACCATAAAAAAACCAGCAACAGTCCAGCTGTCTGTCACTCTTGCTCTGTCACGCATGTTCCAATAGAACTCAGCTCCCCAGGGGGGTTCAATTGCTATGATTTTTTGGAAGTAGACTGCCAGGTCTTGCTTTCAAGGAAATTTTGGGTGAATCTGAGCTTCTAAACTTTCAGATATGTAGGCAATCCTTATTTGGATGGTCTGGGGACTCAAAAATCCCTGCTGTTGGATCATAAAGAGGGAAAGCAAGCCCAGCCTTCTCATGCAGCCCTCTGTCCGGCACCAGCTGCCATCTCTCTCCCCCACCCCCAGCTCCTGAAGCCTACCATGAGGTCCCTGCTAGCAGTACCTGCACACCCCAACCACCACCAGGGCCTGGCACTTAGGCTACCATTAAACGGAACTAAGCATTCATAGATACATCTTGCTACGTAAGTGAAAAACTGGTGGTTCAAATCCACCCAAGAGGAAAAGCCTGGTAATCTACTTCTGCAAGTGAAACAAACCCCCAACAACAACAACAAAAAACAAACAAAAAAGAACAAACCCATGACAACCCAGCCATTGAAAATCCTATAGAGCACAAATCTGCTGAAATATCTGAGGTCTCCATGAGGCAGAATTAACTCATAATACTGAGGGATCGTTTCCGATTATTCTTCTAACAGATTTGTCTGGGGTATTCATCTTCTAACTCATTAAGTCTAGGCTAAATTTCTGCCATTTCTTTTCTTTTATCCTTCCCATGCACCTTCTGTAATTTTAGTCTTCAGATTCTGAATTTCACTTTGTTGTTTTTGTATTGCTTCTAATTTTCCAATTATTTTACCTTGTCTAGTGTTTTGGTCTTGTGGTTGTTTGCTTGGGATTTTTTTGTTGTTGTTGTTGGTTGGGTTTTTTTTTGTGGGTTTTGTTGTTTTTTTTTTTAAGTTCTACAAGGTCCCAGGAATGGATGGAATACCAACTGACATATTTCAGCAAACAGATGCTGCCCTGGATGTGCTCACCAGGTTTTCTCAAGAAATCTGGAGGACAACTGCCTGGCCAACTAACTGGAAGAGATCTCTATTTCCATTCCAAAAAAAGGTGACCCAACAGACTATGGAAACTATCAAACAGTATCACTAATATCACTAATATCACATGCTAGCAAGATCCTGCGGAACATTATCCATAAAAGACTGAAACAGTACATCAGCAGAGAACCCAGAAGTGCAGGCTGGATTTAGAAGAGGCCATGGCACTGAGGACATCATTAACAACATTAGATGGATCTTGGCCAAAAGCAGAGAGTACCAAGGAATCTGTGTTTCATTGACTACGCAAAGGCGTTTGGTTGTATAGATCACAATAAACTGTGGCTAACCCATGCTCATGCGAAACTTATCCTTGAACCAGGAAGCAGTGCTCAGAACAGAGCAGAAAAACCACTGCTTGGTTCAAGATCAGGCAAAGTGTGCATCAGGGATGCATCCCATCTCTATGCCTTTTCAATCTATACACAAAACAGATCATTAGGGAGGCTGGGCTGTACGAGGAAGAATGTGGCATCAGGATTGGAGGAAGGTTCATCAACAACCTGCATTATGCAGATGACATAACCTTGCTTGCTGAAACTGAGGAAGACATGAGGCATTTGCTGCAAAAGATTAAGGACTGTAGTCTTCAATATGGATTGAAGCTCAACATCAAGAAAACAAAGATTCTCACCACTGGGCCAACTGGCAGCTTCATGATAGACAGAGAAGAGTTTGAGATTGTTAATAACTTTAGCTAGCTTGGCTCCACAATCAACATTCTTGGCAGCAGCAGCCAGGAAATCAAAAGACAAATTGCATTGGGAAAGTCTGCTGTCAGAGACCTCTCTAGAATATTGAAGAGCAACGACATCAGGCTGGAGACTAAGGTGTGCCTGATCCAGGCCATGGTCTTCACAATTACTTGCTATGCATCTGAGAGCTGGACAGTAACTAAGGATGACAGAAGGAGTGATGTTTTTGTAGTACTGGAGAAGAGTGTTGAACATACTGTGTGGACTGTCAGGAGAACAAAGAGGTCTGTGCTAGAGAGGTTGAAACCAGGCTGCTTCCTGGAGACAAGGATTTTTAAGCTCCATCTCACATATTTTGGGCATATGGCCAAGAAGGAATAGACCTTGAAGAAGGACATCATGCTTGGAAGGATGGAGGGACGGCACAGGAGAGGAAGACCCAGGACGATATGGGTTAACTCAAAAACTAGAGAAATGGGATTAGGTCTGTTGGAGATAATGAGATTGGCTCAAGATAGGGCAGGGTTCAGAGCTAATGTACACTGAGCCGCTATGAATCGCAGGCAACTCAATGGCACCTAGCAACACTTTTTCAGTGTTGAGCTACAAACCCAAAGGTTCAAATCCACCAGGAGCCCTGCAGGAGAAAAATGTGCTATCCCCTCCTATGTGATTTCATGCCCCCCAAACCCACCAGAGGGTCAGCTATGAGTCAGTTCGAACTTGGTGACAAGGAGAGAACAAAAAATAGAGTTTATGGACCCCTGGAGCTCTGCTAGCAGTAGCTTGGGAGGCTGTGTGGTCTTAAAGCAGCAACTCTGAAGGCTTCACTTTCATCGTCTGTACAGTGGAGATACAGGAGCTGCCTCTCACAGCTACCGTGACAGGATGGTAACACATAACCTGCCAATACCATATAATGAAAAGGACCGGTCATAACAACAGTTCATTTCCTCTGGGAGCCAAGATCTAAGTGTTTTTCACGAACTGATGTTGTTTCATTCTTATCAGTATAATTGCAAGAACAGTACAAAGAACTCTCCTATTCTTCATCCAGATTTGCCAATTGCTAATATTTCGCTAAGGTTTTCTTGTTTTATGTACTATTTTATCTGTAATATTTGAGGGGAGGTAGCTTATCTTTCACCCCTAAATACTCCAGTTGTATTTCACAAGACAAACCATTACTCAGATATTTCATTTTGATATGATACTTATGCAATATTCTAATTGGATCAACCTTTCCAATACTGTCCTTTACATAATTCTTTTTTTCAGTCTAGGCTCACATATTGCATTTGATACTATCTCTTTGGCCACCACTTATCAGTTTGTTGTAGTGGCTTTCAGTGATTGAGGAGAAGGTAGACAAATTGATTATCATGCTTTCTTCTCCACCAAATAACAATGGTTCATGCAATTAATTCTGACATGGCAGTAAATTTCATTATCAGTCGACACAAAGTTAGATATGTTTAAATTTTAATGAAACAGCATATGACCTATTTTAAAGTTACAACTTTAATTACAAGAATACAAAGATGCCTCTATACAATAACTTTTTATATAGAGAGAAAAATAGGACTTTGAAGCCCTAAACTTTCAAAGGTCCTTGCCCTCCTCTGTACACGCCCAGTGTTCTGCAATGTGTCCACTGATTTAAAGTGCAAACATTTTCCAGATGCAATGCTTTGCCTTTCGCGTGTGCAACTTGCTCAGACTATTCCACTGTAGCACCTGGGCTAATGAGGACACAGCCCAAAGCAGCCAAGATTATTAAGAAAACAGATTTCCAGAAACTTCACTTCCTCTTCTCTCCTCTGCTATGAAGATGCCGTCCCCACTCGCATTATTCTAAACAAAGTGTTGATGTTGTTGCTTCGAATTGCGTCCCGGCAAGCAGTGATCACCTGGTTCTTTGGCTTTCCAACTGTGTGAGAGAAACAGCAATGAACGTGATCTAAAGGACCATGAAAGGTAACATTACAAGTCCAGTTTTAGAACAACACAAAGCTGGATTAAAGCATTACGTGATGTGCAAATATAACTGTTTCACCTCACCTCTCCCTGAGAAAGATAATGGGGGCTTTTATGAAACCCAGAGGCCATCTCAAATCCAGAGACTAGCGGTCAGTCTGACAGAAACTGATCAAAGTCCCTATCTATCAGCGAAGAGGATTCTTCAAAGGAGGTCAGAGGAAGCACTGACCCCAACCGGCAGAATTCTGGTGGATTTCTCCAGCTAGAGCTCATCCTTTTGGGTTCATCTTATTCTTGCAATCTCTCCTTCTAATAAGTGCTCTGAAGGCTATGCATTTCCTCTTGAGTGCTTTCCTTTAAAGAACACAGCAAGCTCTGAAAAAGGAGGCTACAGGTTTTCTTCCTCTTTGAAGTCTAACAGCCAAACCTATAGTCCTTGGGTTGCTTCCAACTCATGGTGACTCTTTCTCTCCCATGTTTCTAAAATTATATATAAATCTCATCAGGGTGGAACTGCCTCACCTTTTCCCTGCAGAACAGCTGGTGAATTCGAACTGCTAACCTTTTGGTCAGCAACCAGTCACTTAATCTACTATGTCACCTAAAACCAAACTGGAGGCTCACTGACTGAAACTCACATGGCTGGTGTCAACCTGAAGGGCCCTTCACCTTTGTAGGCTACTCTACGCCCCAATATAAAATCTCAGCTAATGCTTGCATCTTCAGGAACTGTCACTAAAGAACCTCCAAGAGTAGGACTAGGAAAACACGTACCACGCAGACGGCCTGCTCTTTGTATTGCTTGATTGACTGCTTTGAGGTTTCCCAGCAGTTCTGTGTGATTGTTACAGCGAATTTTATATCCATTTAGTAAATCCTTGTTGAGATCATAGAGTTCCATGTAACGACTCGCCATTGTTTTCCTGTGTAAACCAATAGAAATACAATCATCATTCATAACAGGCTATGTGTTCATTAAACCAGGTTCACCGCTGAAGTTGGCTTTAACAAACATGGAAATCTTTTTATTAAACAATAGTTTTCATTATTTCCACATAGTGGAAACAGTGTTAATCCATTTGGTGGAGGGTCTTCGTCCACCGACCCACCACCTTTCCAACTATGATGACCCTTTCCAAACAATGGCCCCGCCTAACAACACGCCCGAAGTATGTGGGACCACGATCGCCGTCCTTGCCTCGAAGGAGCACATGGTTACACTTTCTCCAACAAATTGTGTTCTTTTGGCAGCACACGGGATATTCAGCATTTTTCTCCAGCACCAGGACTCCAAGACATAGTTTATTTTATTTACTTTATTTTATTTTATTTTACTACTTTTTGTGTGTATATTATCAAACTGGATCTGACTGGTACAGGAGCAGATTGTCCCTCCTTCTCCAGCAGAGCATTTGGTGGATTTGAACTGAGCACCACTGGGATCGCAGTGCAGCATTCTTGCCACTAGGCCACCAGAACCCCAGACATGGGTTCTTCTTGTTATATTCTTACTCCTGTCCAACTCTCGGATACACAGCAAGTGACTGGAAAGATCATGGCTTGACTCAGGCATAAAACTGCCTTTAAACTGGCATCATGGTTCTTTGGAGGGGTCCATGAAAGTAGACTTTCCTAATTCAGACTCTCCATCTTTTGATTTCTTGACTGCTGGTACCAAGGGATTTGGAGTGTGGAACCAAATAAGATGAAATTATGGTCAATTTCAATGTCCCCCCCATCTATCATGATGGTGCCTCCTGGCCCAATGGTGAGGATCTTTGTTTTGTTGATGTTGAGATGTAAAAATACTGAAAGCTGTAGTCTTGATCTTCTGCACCAAGTGTTTCAAGTCCTCCTGAATTTCAGCAAGCAAGGCTGTGTCATCAGCATGACACAAGGTGTTGATGAGTTTTCCTCCAATCCTGATGCCACATTCTTCTTCGTATACAGTCCAGCTTCTCAAATGACTGGCTCATTATGCAGATGGAATAGGTGTGGAGAAAGGATACAGCACATCTTTCCTGATTTTAAACCATGCAGTGTTCCCTTGTTCAGTACGGACAACTGCTTCTTGGTCTAGGTATAGGTTTCACATTAGCACAATTAAATGTTCTAGGATTCTTATTCTTCTCAATGTCAGCCATAATTTGTTATGATCTCCAAGTTTCAAATTATTTCTTACTTCATGAAAAGGACCTATTAAACAGAATGCTTTTTTAAAAACATTCAGCTCTCTAATTTATCAATGTGTTTTAAAAGGGCCAACATTAAAAATACAGTATTACTATAAAATTATTAAAACTTTAAAATGGATAGTACAAATGCTGGCGAGGATAACTGCAACTCCAACTGCCAGACATCACTGATGACAATGCAAGACAGCACAGCTACTCTGGAAAATGACTTGGCACATATGTTTCCAACAGAACCTATCACAAGATATTGTCTCCAAGAGAAATGAAAACATGTCTGTTAAAAATCTATACATGAATGTGTCACAGCTTTTCCACAATCATCAAAGCCTGAATACAACTTAAATGTCTATCAAATATTGAATGATTAAATAAATTATGGTGTAGTCATGTAACCAATGCTGCAGAGCAATAAAAGGAAGGAACACAAACACAACACAGATGAATCTAAAAGGCATAATGGCAAGTGAAAGACATCAGAGTTAACGGTGCACATCCTGGATGGTCCTATTTACATGACATTTGGAAAGAGGTATAACTATAGGGATAAAAATAATATCGTGGTTGCCAAAGACTGTTGTTCTTGCCATCGAGCCAAATACGACCCACAGCGAGCCTATGAACGACAGATCTGAACTCTGTCCCAAGCTGTGCCATTCTCATCATCTCAGATACACCTGAGCCCAAAGTCACTGTGTCAATACATCTCATTAACAGTCTTCCTCTTTTTTTCTGACTTTCCACCTTTCCAAGAATGCTGTCCCTTTCCAAGGAATAGCCTCTCCTAGTAACATGCCCAAAGTATATGAGATAAAGCTGCATCATTCTTGCCCCAGGGAACACTCTGGCTACACTTTCCCCCCCAAGACAAGGATATTTGTTCTTCTGGTAGTCAATCGAATATTCAGTACTTTTCTCCAACACCACAGCTG